TATATATATATATATATATATGTGTGTGTGTGTGTGTGTGTTTGCTCGATACCATAGAACCCCCCTATAACAAATCCCAATTTAACCCCTGGTTACAATGGTGCCAGATTATATACTGATTACAACAATCTGGTGTCACATTCACCCTGTTGGACCAAAATCTAATTATTCAAAACATATGCCAACGCATGGACAAAACATTCATGTAGAACAAGAGGACATTCAGAGGTAACGAACGTAATGACACACATCTGATCGTCAGATAAACCATGCGCTCTTATACTGTATGTTGTGGATATTTCAGCAAATTTTGCTTTCGCTTAGTAATAACGTTTACAATACATAAATAAAGGCTAATCAATCACTGTTGATATTTTTCCAGAGACAGTACGCTAAACATTTTCTTTAACTAAATTCGCCTAACTCTCGCATGCTTTTTAAAGGGTTAGTTCACCCAAAAATGAAAATTAGCCCATTATTTACTTACACTCAAGCCATCCTAGGCGTATATGACTTCCTTCTTTCAGACAAATCCAATCAGAGTTATATTAAAAATTGACTTTGATCTTCCAAGCTGTTTAATGGCAGTCAGCGGGTGTCAGTCCAAAAGACGTGAAATAAAGCGCATGCATCCATAATAAAAAGTGCCTCACACGGCTCCGAGGGGTGAACAAAGGCCTCCTGTAGTGAATCAATGCATTTTTGTAAGAAAAATATCCATATTCAAAACTTAATAATCACTTTAATCTAGCTTGCGTCAACAGCTTATATCGAAATCCTCCGACATACTTCTTTACAAATCCTCGTTTTGTTCTAATTCGTGACCGTTGTTTTGTTCTGATCTCTCCGCTGCGCTTACGTGTTCGTCACTTCTGAGAGGCGCATGCGCAACGCCTACGTCATCCACCCGGAACTGCTTCCGTGTACAACAGTGAGCGCAAGCTAGATTAAATTGATTGTTACGTTTTAAATATTTTTCTTACAAAAACACATCGATTCACTAGAGGAGGCCTTTGTTCACCCCCCGGAGCCGTGTGAGGCACTTTTTTATTATGGATGGATGAGCTTTATTTCACTTCTTTTGGACTATTGAAAAATAACACCCTGATGCACTGCAACACCCGCTGACTGCCATTAAACAGCTTGGAAGATCAAAGACAATTTTTTATATAACTCCGACTGGATTCGTCTGGAAGAAGAAAGTCATATACACCTAGGATGCCTTGAGGGGGAGTAATTAATGGGCTAATTTCCATTTTTGGGTGAACTAACCCTTTAAGTAAAATGCACTTAATTTAGATTCCGAAATACTCATTAAGAAAAGCATTTTTTGCAGCATGAATGAATGAATAAATGAATGAATGAATGAATGAGCTATTTAAACATGACTTAAATTACGCTTTAGAAAGGGGGAGGAGACCGAAAGAAACTCCGGGTTTAATGAAGAAAACCTGCTCCCGACCAGGGGCCTGCACCATGATGGTAGTTGAACAAATTCAGAGTTAAAGGAATAGTTCCGAGTTGACAAAACCAAACCACTCCAGTCCGGCTTTGTTGGTACCATGATGCTGATCATCAGCTTTCTTTGTCAACTTTGGCTTTGAACCCGAGTTTGTGGAGCGCTTGCACATGAATGTGTGACATCAGCGGTGAACAGCCAATCACATGCCTTGC